TTATATTGAAAAACGATTTAAAAATTGTAACTTCAAGGCCCTCTGGAGCCCAAACGAAGCAACTTTGTACTAAGGTAATTTTACTTAAATCGACTTATTTTGGTCTAAGGAATATGTGGTATGTTTTTATAAAGACCTTTTACAGACACCCTGTATGTTGTAAAAGGCCAACACTTAATGAAGAATTTCTGATTTGTAAGGAAATCAAGATGGGATATGTATTTATTTTATTTCATATTTCATCCTATGTCCAGCCAGAGACAATCCTTTATTCTAATACAGATTTGAGTTGTCGGTTTTTGTTATTTACGAGTTGTGCTGTTGTTATATGGGAAGCAGAATATGTCTTTAGAAATTGAGGCGAGTATTGCAATGCTTGTTTAAGTTAGGTTTATTAACTTTATCTCTTTTCTGAGACGAGTGACGCCATTTCGAGTTTATCAAATTTATAGGCATTTTATATTCTTATTTCTATTTAAATATAACCTACATTTGCTGTCCCCCCACCAGTTTTTTTATTAGTTCTACAGCTAATTGAAAAATGGAGCTTCATGGCATGGCATGGGTACTGTTTGTTTTATTATAATTAATTTAAAACAATATTAATAGACCTTCTTAATTACCTATAATTTGTTTCGGATTAGTGCATTTAAAGGAATTGGTGAAAATGAAGCGATTCACCAGTTTAACATCGAAGTTATTCAACCTTTCCAGAATAAAGTATTAAGGAACATCGTCGATGCACCCTGGTACTGCAACAATACTGATCTTTATAGGTACCTTAAAGTGGAGATTGTTGAAAATACAATACAAACATTTGCCAGTAATCACCAACGACGACTGCTCCATCATGGAAACCTTGAGATTATTCAGCTCCTCAACAATGTCAATCTAATAAGAAGACTCAAGAGAAGTATAGTTCGGTTAAGTGTTATACGTTAACGGTAGTGTAATTAAATAATTAGACTCTAAGGTATACTAGTGAGTAGAATATTAGTTTATGAAGTTTTTCATCCCTTGATAAAAATAAAATTGCTAATTGATCTTAATGATCAGATTGTAATAATCGTAAAGATTTATTTACTTTATATTTACATTTATTAAAACAAAACTATTTGTTTGAGATTAGTGCATTTAAAGGAATTTGTGGAAATTAAGCGATTCGCCTTTATATTTTATAAAATAATGTTTAAAAATTATTTATTTGTTTGTTTAAGAATCAATGTTTGAGTGGTGTATTTTAAATAAACATGTATATTTATAAATGTCTTATTTTTATCTAATAATATTTTAGAAAAAAAAAACTATAATACATTTCTGAAATATTACTATTTAATATTTCTAAAAGATTTCAAATTTTTATTTCAGAAATATTACTGTGAAATATTATATTTACAGGGCATTTTTACGTTTCAGGCACATTTCAGAAATGTTTCGTAATATTTATACAACATAACAAAAGTTTCAATGTAATATGTTTGAAATATTTCTGAAATGTGTTTGTGCTGTATGGTTTCAGCAAGATGGAGACCACCCCATTACCAAATCAATGTCCGGCAATACTTCAATCGAGGATTTACAAATCGGTGGATAGGGAGGCAAGGATCGATGGAATGGCCAGCACGATCCCCTGATCTGACACCATTAGATTTTTTCTTATGGAGATATTATGTCAAAAGTATTGTGTACAAAACTAAACTTCTCGACATAGCTGATTTAAGAAGACAAATAACGCTTGCTATTATATCGGTCACGCCTGAGATGTTGAGTAACTTTAGAAGACACTATTATTTCAGATAAGAGGTTCACGGCGAGCACTTTGAACATCTCTTACATTGAGATGTGTTTTTTTTTGTTACATTATTAAGAAAGAAACAGTATTACTTATTTGTTTTTGAGTGTGTTGTAACGAATTTCTGAAATAAATCGGAAAACATTTAATATTTTCTAAACAGTTATAGTCTATTTTTATGTATGAGAGAGTATTAAAATAATAAAGCGTTCGTAATCCATAGGCGTATCACTTCTTTTAGTAGACAGTTAAAATATTTTTTGAAGTTATTCCTCGAGTATACACTTATATGTTCACCTAATTAACCTGCTTATAACTTCTAAACAGCAGAAGGTAAAAAAGAGCAAACGGGTTATGTAAGTATAAGGGTTTAAACTTTGACTTTTAAACAACGTTACGTTCATAAATAATAATTTTAATATAAAAACTACTTCTTACCTACAAATCCAAATCAGAATCGAAATCAGTAGATGAACTGTCGCAACCAATATTTACAATGAGTGGCTCGATCATTTCATCAGTAATATTGTCCAACTTCCACATTTTCTCTTCTTCTTTAATCGTATGATTTACTAACTTTTCCCAGTTTTCAGGCTTCACATTATTTACAGCCTCCAAAAACAACTGTTTAACATCACTCATTTTAAAAGAATTATTTTTTCTTGAAACTGCTCCCTTTATCTGTGCCCATATCAGTTCAATCGGGTTTACTTCGCAATGGTATGGTGGTGATCTAACCACGATTTTTTGCAATTTCATCAATTTCATATTTTTGAATTTCTCTTTATGAAGGAAACACAAATGATACAGTTCTTTTCTCACAGAACCGGGATGGAACTTAATATTCTTTGAATTTAGCCAATTCTGTAAATCTTTTTTTAACCACTTGGTTGTGGGCATTTTTTCTATAAGTCTCGAGTGATAACTTGCATTATCCATTACTATTATACAGTTCTGAGGAAGAAGATCTATAATTTGTTCGAACCACTCTTTAAAGACATTAGCATTCATGTCCTCATGGTAGTCACCGGTACGAGTAGATTCAAAAGTCAATAAACCACCTTTAACAAAACCGTTTGAACTACCGACGTGTACTATTATTAGTCTGCGCCCCTTTCCTGATGGTGGATTTAAACCAGTAGATAAATTATTTAAAAAAGCCTGTCTTCGACTTGTAACAGTTTCATCTTGCCAAAATTTATTTGGTTTATGTCCCTCGTTGATCCATGTTCAATCTAAATAAGATATATTTCTTCTTTGGTTTCTTATTTCTTTTATAGTCTTTAGGTAATTTCTTCTCCATACTACAATATCGCTTCTTTCTATTAAAATAGACTTTCTGGAATGCTTTTTCCATAGAAAACCTATTTCTTTTAAAAGTTTCCATAGTGTGCTTCGACTCATTTCAGGGTAATCCTTATTATCTCGAACCGTGGCAAGAACTTTGTCTACTGTCGGAAATTCTTTTCTAAAGAAGAACGCATAGACTTTCCTTCGAAGTCTTTCTTTCAAAAGATTTTCTAATTGAAATTTTGGTTTTCCTGGAGCTTTACGTGCTGTTTGAAACTCGCCACATTTCTCTTCTTTAACAACTCTGTAAATCGTAGATTTCCCAACACCAAGCGTACTACTAACTAATTCCACTGTGTCATCAACACTTTTACATAAATGTTTGTCTGTAAATGATTTAAAACAATTAATATTAATGTTTTTTCATTAACTGTTAAAGGACCGATTTTTTGTCGTTTACGTGGCCCTTCCAAATTTTCCATGATCACACTAGAATTCACACTGCACCTTGCAAGTTGCAACTAAACGACATTTAGTAAACTGTCAAGAATACACAACTTGGACCTTCTTACTAAATGGAAAACCTATAATCGCATTTTCGGTGAAATTTGTTGGGAAGGTATTTATCTACTTATAATTCGATTACTGTAAGAAATTCTTGGAATTAAAATAAAACAAAATTGGCAAATAGGTACTTATTGAAAATAATCTTAAGATACGGCTATGTAATCTTTAATACACAGGGCTTTTGGCCTGTCCAAACCTTTTTCTATTGTTCTGTACAGCTTATGTTTATAAAGGACCAATAAAAGACCCAAAACTTGTAATAGCTCAGATACATTTATTACAATTTTAGGAAATATTTAGATTATTCTGTAAAAATATTTAAAATGACCGTACTAAGTTTTGCATTAGAAATGCTGTTTTATTACTCTCTCATACATAAAAATAGACTATAGGTATAGGACATAGTACCTAAAATATTTCTAAAATTTTCTGAAAAATCCAAAAATTTAAAAAAAGAAATTAAATATATTATTATATATTTTATTTTTATTTCTTTTCGTTGATATCTTATTAGATTTTTTTCAAAAGAAACCGATTCAAATTTTCAAAAAGTGACTCCATATGGGTACGGGTTGAGCCTTAACCTGTACTTACATAATTTTTCTTATAGTAAAAATAAAAAATAATCCGTAAAATTGGTGTACTATGGAACCCTTGCATATTATACTTAGTATTACAGAAACGATTTACGTAAAACAATAAGGTGTACAAATACGTAAAATGTGTTTATACCTCGTAAAACATCAGTAAAATATATTATAAATTGTTTTAATTCACAAATATTAATTTCTTAAAATCTAACAGAGGCGCCACTTTCCAGACGAAGAACCTTCCAATGTAGGAGTTTCGTATTATCCCAGTTTTAAAGTTTATTTTTGACTATTTTCAAAAGTATAAATATATACTTGTAGGTAAAAGTTAAATCTATGCTCCTCTGGAACCACTCTTTCAAAATTCAATTTAGTTTTTTCTATAAAAAATCGAGAAAATGAGTAAAAATGTCGATTTTTATATTAATAAAAAAAAAAAAAAAAACGGTTTTAAATTTTGAAAAAGTATTTTCATAAGAGCCATAGATTTATCCTTTACCTACACGCATATATTTTTTATTTCAGAATAAGTCAAAAATAAACTTTAAAAGGGGGGTCGTAGGAAAAAATATTTAATGTGTTCCATCTGAATCCGGGAGATTGCCCACATATTCTAAAAAATAAAAAATTCGTAAGTTTGTTTTTCAATTACAAGTTTGTACAATTCAAGTACATTCGCAAATGTTTTATTAGTATCATTATCATAATTATTATATTGTGAACAGGTTGTAAACAAAAGTAGAGATGGCATACCAACTCTAGTTGCAGTAGTAGTAGTACTAGTACTCTCTGATTCTGTTATTTTCAATGTTAAATTCAATATTCAGATATTATTCAAGCAGAAGTGATAGCAATAGCTCGCGAAATCGAGGTGGAACTTCAGTTGTTCATTAGCATATGCCAGACAAAGTGAGAGTGCGAGTGGTGAGAGGTTTAATTTGATATTTCTGTTATTGCTAGGGTAAGTGAATAATTAATATATTTACCTACTTATTATCTATTAAAAATATACCTGATACATTTTTCTAATTATTTTAATCACAAGCTGTACCTATTTGGATTAAAATATGTGATATTTAAGATTAATTCGACATAAGTTATTCTCATGTCTACCTGTTCAAATAATTGCTCGGTAATTAACTCAACCGAAAGTCATTTTAAAGTTATATTCGTAATTATTTAATTACTTTATTACAAACCAAATATTCAAGGCTCATAATCCAACATGTTAGGTGTTTATTAATATTATTCTGTTTTTTGTTGATTTTTAAAATAACCCAATTTTCGGTAGTACGTACGTTTTTAGTTACAATTCGTGTATGAATAATTATTGTTCTATTTCATTATTTAAAGGTATGAATAGAAATTAAGCAATAGCGTTTACTTAAAAATTGATAATAAATAGTTGTTTTTTGTATAATCAATTAAAGGACCACGCACTTTTCTTATGCAAACGGGAGTACCGTCAAAATGTCTGAATTTTTGATATGTTAAATAACTTAATGTCCCCATCAAAAGTGTCCATGGGCTTAATCATATCCTATGACTAGATTTTGAGATACAGGGTGTTGAAGTTAGAAACCCTAATTCTTTAAAATGGACACCATAAATCACCCTTAAATATTTTTGGAAGTTTTTTGCTCATTCTGTGTAGTCAAAATACATACTTAACTACTATAATTAAAATAGTGTACCTTACAGGGTGAATAATGATTCGGTAAATCTTATTTGGTCAAAGTAGGTATTTCCACCGAACAAAAATAGCTAAAATACCGAGAAAAAAAAATATCACCGTCAAAGTCTCTCAATATTTGATATCGTATAGTACTCGATGTACTCGTTCAAAATTCTTATTGATAAAATTAGATCCTATGACTATATTAATTTTAAACCATAAATATACTGATATAAGTAGATATGTTTCAGAGAAATACTGTATATTAGATAATTTGATACACTGTGTTGGATTAGAAATATACCCCTTGTGCTATTTGAGGACATCCAAAATTATTTTGTAGTTACAGGCATGAGCGTCGTCTGGGGGAGGGGGGCAAGGGGGGGCAGTTGCTCCCCCCTGGCTTTTACAGCTTAATCAACAACGCATAAGATATTATGCATTACGAATAACAATCTCATAGAAATAATATTCAGGCTAATATAGTTGAAGAATATTATAGGTTGAATATATTTATTGCATATCTGGGTTCCGCTTTTCCAAAGACTTTGTTAGTTTTTCCTTAAGCACGTACATCCCAAAAACATAAAAAATACTTTTTTCACTACCGATAACAAAATGAAAGTGGTGAAAAAATTTGTAATCGACAATTTTGAAGCTGAATACTAAACTGGAATACGAAAGAGCTTCCTGCACACAATGAGCTCTCCATTGATGATATAGCGTCCAAATATTGTGAATTTTATTTAGACATACAAAATGGTTTAAAAAATATTTATGGCTCTTCCACCAACGACAGAGTTAATCGAAAGAACGTTTGGAATACTTAGGCATGTTAAAACATGGCTGCGGTCTATTCGATCAGTGCGAAGTCATGGTAGGGGAAGTAAAAGCGATACTAGCGCAAGCTGCGGATAATTCGAGTATTTTAGGGCGATATTTTGTAATATTGGCATATCAAATACACGTATACATTTTACTTTTTATTAAAAAAAATAGGTAAAAACAATAAAATGAGTAACCGGAGTTGCTATGTTGCAAATTATACTAGTAAAAAGACTGTAAATTATATGAACGTTCAGTAGCAAAATCGAAATTAAATAAAATAAATAAATGGACAGCTGTATAATAAGAACAAAAAACCTTTATTTTTGTAAGAATTAAGCAATTATTTTTTTATGATATTCTTTAACATCCCTTAAATCTTAAAAGTTTAGTAAATGATTATGGCTGACATGCAATCTTGTGACTTATTGATAGGAAACCAGTTTTATGCATTAATTTCTATGGGTTCTTTCGAACTAAAAATGAAGAAAATATAAATTACAATCGCAAATATACCAATTATTTTTGTTATTACGTTTTAATTCTACGTTATTATATAATGGTAATATTTTTATTTTGACATTATTTAACCTATTCTTCAATGACAACTTATTATGCTCAGCCAAGATCTCTATTTACGAGAAAATGTAAATACCTGCCTATGTTTTATTATAGATTTTTATTGACTTTTTTTAGCTAAAGTAATAAAAATATATAATAATAATAATAATAATAATTTTTTCACTTGTTTTAAAATTAAAATTTACATATGTATTTCTTAATTACGAACTCTAATAAAAATTGTATTGTCAGTATACGCACATATCGTCCGTTAGTTATAACATAGTTGGCGTTGCTGTCACGCACGGAGTGAATAATGATGGAAAATATGCTGACTGAAAAATAAATTATGTTTTCCGTTATCGATGTTTTTAGTAGAGAAAAAAGAAATTTAAAATTTGCGTTTTCCTAGTGTTTTTTTGTATTCATTGACATTTTTTTATGTTTTTTTTTATAAATTTTTATTTTTAATATTATTCTGTTCATATTTTTTTTTATATCACACCTTCTGTTTGTTTTTTAAAAATGTGCTTTAAGTTTCTTGTTTTTTATTTAATTTTTGTTTTTGTCTTTTTTGTTTGGTTATTTTATTTATTAAAGACTAGTTATGAAAACTTAAGTATCAGAGTTCTGTCAAATGGGTCAGTGACATTGTTAGGGTTACTACTAAAGTTCCACTCCCCTTATCTTCACTATTCAGTGAGATATCTGATTAATTTTGTTCTGTTTGAAAAACTGGAACAAACATTTTCTTTGGATTGATTCAATTATTCTGTGACGTCCTGGCTTACTTCCGTTTTTTCCGGAAATAACGAAAATCGAAATTTTTTTATTATTAAATGGAAACCCTCTTTTATTGTAAATTTAAAAATTTTTGTATAATAATCATGTATTGAAAATTTTCTGTCAGATGTCAAAATGGCCGCCATATTGGATAATATTTTTTCTAAACATGTCACTGTTAATTCGTTTATGGAAAAAAATATAAGAATGTACGATCTTTATAAAATCTTTGTAAGATTCAAAATTCCCATTGAGACCCATTTATCGTATACCAGTGGCACATCTAAGCATTTTTATTATTAGCAAACCGTTTAATAATTCCATCCGCTTTTATCTTCGTTGTTAATTGAGATATTGGAATGAACACTTTTTTGTTTAAAAGCTTGGAACAAATACTGTCATATACTGGATTCAATTGGTGTGTGACATCATGGCTTACTTCTGGTTTTTTGGAAATAACAGAAAATCTCAATTTATTTTTAATTTTTAAATAGAATCTCCTTTTTTTTTGAAAATTTGAATTTCGGGAACATTTATGGAAAAGAATCAAGTATTGAAAATTTTCTGTCAGCTATCAAAATGACCATCATATTGGAAAATATATTTTTTTAATATGTTATAGAAAATGTTAAATACACGCCCCAAAAATGTCCCAGAAATTCAAATTTTCAATAAAAAAATGTTTTTCATTTAAAAATAAAAAATAAATTGCGATTTTCTGTTATTTCTGGAAAAGCTGTAAGTAAGCCATGACGTCACAGAAAAATTAAATCCATCATATGAAAATTTTCTTCTATTTTTCATTTTCATTTGTTTTCAAACAAATAAACATTCTAAATTTTTTTCAAAATTTTGCCCCCCCCCCCCCCTATAGAATTGTGTAACGACGCCCATGGTTACAGGGTGATTGTGTTTGAATATGTAAGGTGAAAAAATCAACAAAATGTTGAAATTGTTGGCAAAAAATAGAAAATAATTGCTTTTTAACTTTGGAGTTGTTTATCAAAAAAATCCTATTAGTTCACATACAAAGTCATACATTATTTCATTACAAAAAATGAAATGAATAACGATCGGATTAAATGTTTATTTTGACTGGAGCATTGGCTCTTTATATTGCCTCTTTATGTATATTTATATCAGATTGGGAACTCATCTGACAATCCATGTCTTAGTTTAACAAGGAAAGCAAGTAAATCTTTTTGAGCAATGTTTCTTAAGTTACTGTCTTATTGGTTCACAAAATTCATATAATACTTGGAAATTCTGTTTAGAAATTGAAGTTGAATATTTAAATTCTTCTAAACTAAAATAATTTTTGTCTTCCCAATTTTTAAATTATTATTAGCAGTAGCAGCCGCTCTTAAATTAACGAGGAAGAATGGTCTATAAACAAAACGCAAACTATCATTTAAATTAATCATTAGTAAACATGAAGATTTAGATCAGCTGTACTCAACCTTTTTTTTCTTTCGGGCTACATAAATCTGTTTGTTATGTTTCACGGGCCACAACATTTTTGGGTGATAACTAAAGTTGCCACCTTTTTGAAGTGCAAATAAAAGACAATGGATGAAGATAGGGATCCGCTTTAAATATTTTCTAAAAAAAAGGTCCTCATGTTGTTTTAATAAAGGACTGTAGCTCAACCATATCAGTTACTAATAATCGTGTTTGAAGCTGAACAAAAAAGCTTGGAGGGCCGCACACAACAGCTTGGTAAGCCACATGAGGCCCGCGGGCTGCAGGTTAAGTATGGCTGATTTAGATGAATGTCACAAAAATCTTCAGATATTCGGATACATAAATATTTGAAACTAAAAAAATATTTGCTCTGCCTACTGCCGATAGTTTTCTTACATTTACTTGTGCGTTACAAATTATACAACCACGAACTGAGTGGGGTGTTAAAACATTAAGTCTTAGGCAATTTGGATCATTTTCAATATTTCTAAGTTCCTGTGTAATTGCGTGATAACAGTTTAAACATAATCTTACTTCTTGTAGATCATCGATTGCAGGATGTCCGGCAGCTTGTCTTCTTAAATTAGCAACGTTAAGCACATCTATATTATTGTCTTTGTTTGAACGAATAGTGAGTCGAAGTTGAAAGTGTC